AAAATATATATAATTGCTGTTGAAAAAGATTTTCACTATTTGTTTTATTTACTTATATATATTATTACATTTAATTTTTTAATTTCGAATTATTCTTTTCACACTACTGAGTTTAATGTTTGGAAATTTATCCGACAAATGATTTACTTTTCATATCAAATTAAAAACTTTTAATTTTTTGTGGCACATTAACAGTTTTTTATACATATTTAAATCTGAATCAGCGTTACTGGTTATGAAATAGATTTTTTTTATTTTTTGATAAGTATTTTTGTATAATGATAATCCACATAATTTCTTATTAAGTTAGCGTTTTTTGATAATAAATAATTAAAATGTATCGATAAGTATAAAAATATCTGTAAAGTTATCGATAAACAATACAAATTAAAATGAATCGATAAATATATCGATATCGATATACTTATTGCTTATATATGATAACAATGTATACCTTACAATAATCGAAAATTAATGCTTAGACTAAGCCGTAGGGCTGATTCTATTACCAGAAGTGACGCAAGGTCCCAAAACTCCTAGATAAGGATCCCCCTTGGGCAGTTGTAAAAGCTGGTCATTTGTGATTCCCAAAATAATCAGATATATGTATAACACCCGTGCTTTATAGATCGTGGTAGACTACATTAAGGCGGTCATTCAACAACATCGGCCTTTTTGCCAAGTTCACCACTAAAGATGTGTTAGCCAAGATGTTTCAAGCTCAACCTTAGTCTAGCAAAAGCAGCACAGTTGAGAAGAAAGTGTCTAGGAGTATCCAACTCGCCTTCCTTCATATAGCTTTGACATTTTGTATCCGACAATATATATATATAGCCTCACCGCCTGTTAACTTTATCGGACAGTGTCTAGTTAGAACGCCTACCATGACGGCAAGATGAACCTTACTAGGAGCAAGTAGTTCAGACGACCTCTTGCTTTTAACTTTGGCTATGAAAGATCAAGATCAGTCGAAGAAGTTTTGAGTTTTGACCAGCGCTTGCCAAACTCAGAATAGATACACAGATCCAACGCTAAAACGCAAGAGGACAGCGGAGTACTCCATCAAGCTCAACAGCTATGCAGTTTCCAGTGATTACTCTGTAATCCGTCCATATAAGTGGGATATTAAAGTAGCTTGATGCTGTTGATGCCTGTCAGCGAGCTTAAGGCTGCAGTATTGTTTATAAGAGGGAATGCACACTCTCTTAAGAAAACACTTCGGAGCAATACCTCTACTGTTACCTTTATAGCAGCCACCTTCGCGTGAAAGACAGTGCAATGGTTTGGTAGTCTGAAGTTAAATTTCATGGGAAGCTCGCGACAGAAGACTTACAAAATTAATAATTATTCGTGTGTAATCTTTTCAATTATTGCGTCAAATTTTCAGAAAATTATTTACAAAACACATATGTTCGCAGATAGGTGAGAGCTAAAGAGCAATAAGGCAGGAAAAAGAAAAGAAAACGAAGTTTTAAAATTGTTTGCTGGATTGAAGCTTAATATGGCTTAATGTCACATATAAGGAAGGTAACTGTACGGTACTGTAGCGGAAATTGACAGCTGATGTATACGATTAAGGTAACTACAATTATATTGATATTTATTTACTTTTATTTATTATGTTTTATATTTTGTTTTTGTGGTAAATTTTCATTTTCAATTGTTTTCCTTAACTATTTTTAGAACAACTAATTAACAAAAACAAAAAAAAAAAAAAACAATTTTTAAACACTAAAGGTAACAAATCTTTATAATTAAACGAAAATTGCCTTAGAAATGTACTATAAAAATATGAAGAAGAGAAAATGTAACAAGATACAGAAAAAAATTGTATAAAAATTAAATTATACAATTCAAATAATATAAATATATATAAAAGCAGACGAATTAATAGTAGAAAAAATAAGTCAATTTCAAAAAACAAAAAAACTTAATTAA